TCCCTTCCCTTCCCTTCCCTTCCCTTCCCTTCCCTTCCCTTCCTTTCCTTTCCTTTCCTTTCCTTTCCTTTCTTTCTTTTGTCAGGGCTCCAAGAATCCACCCCCATTCGAATCATGAGTGTCTAGCTGCATCTCTCAGAGTTTTTTTAAAAAATCATTTATTAGGAGTCAATTTATAGGCGTTACCTGGGTGCAGCCAACACTGAGACACATCATTCATCTCACCCTTGACCCTAGTCTTCCCCCACCCCCCTGGATGTATATTCTCCAATGGAACACATCCATAGCCAAGAGTCATCAATCATGCTCTCCAGTAATAATCTTGCACGCCAGAAGCTTTGGCTGCCTAGCAATTATCTAAGGTATGCATTACCCCCCTCACTCCCTTTCTACTGACAACTCTAAAAGACGAGAAATATTTTTGAGTTGACTTTCTTTTTTTCTCTTTTCCTTCCTTCCTTCCTTCCTTCCTTCCTTCCTTCCTTCCTTCCTTCCTTCCTTCCTTCCTTCCTTCCTTTCTCACCTACAGTATTTATTTGTAGTCCTTGACTTGCAACCATTCCTTTTGTGATGACCCAGAGTGTACACAAACGTAACAAAATCCAAAATGTAAATAAATGTTCTTTAATGCCTCCAACTTGTCCCCACTGTTCAATAATTCTCAGTTGGAGATTAAACTTATTCAAAAATAGCCTTCAAAAGAAAGCAATACAGTCCGAACTTAATGAGCAGATAGAGGTGAAATAAAAACCTAAAACAAACTACAATGAAGGAAATTCCACAACGGACCCGCTTAAGTAATTACCAACTTCAAGGAGATAACAAGGCACCGTCTCCCCAGCTACAACCAATGAGGGTGATCATGACCACTTCCTCTCTCATAAGCCAAGTTTATTTCCTTCTCCATTCCTCCCTGCATGTCCTAGGATGAAGAGGGAGTGGGCCTGGGTCCTCCTCTGACTGCCTAGCCGGCCTCTCCCTTCCCCAGCCTCCTCCACAACCTCCGGAGCCACACCTTCACTTCCTGTCGGCTGTTCCTCCTCCCTCGGAGTCCAACTCTAATAAGGGCATGACACCTTTAGTGATCATTCAAAGTTAACAATGTCACAGGAAAAAAGTGATCGATGACTGTTTTTCACATGACTGTTGCCGTATCTCCATGGGCACATGATCAAAATTCAGACGCTTGGCAACTGATTCAAATTTATGACGGTTGTAGTCTCCCAGGTCATGTGACTTTCTGATAAGCAAAGTCAATGGAGAAGCCAGATTCACTTAGCAACCGGGCTATTAACTTAAACTTGGTAGTGATTTACTCCACTACTGTGGCAAGAAAAGTCATAAAATGGGTCCAAAACCTCACTTCACAACTGTATTGCTTAATGACAGAAATTTGGGGTTCAATTTTTTTTTTGCTTTGAAAGTCAAGGAGTAGCTGTATTTCTCATTCTTGGCAAACTTGAAGAAGTGTGGACTTCAAGTCCCAGAATTCTCCAGCCAACATGCAGCCTGGGGAATTCTGGGGTTTGAACTCCACACTTCTTCAAACAGGCAAGGTTGAGAGAAACGCTGCTCTACGGGTTTCTAAAAGCCGATTCAGGCCAGGTTCTGGAAAGAAGGTTCCTACTGATCCATTCATTTACCTGTTCCGAATGGCAAGTAAGCTTCATTGTTCACAAAATTGCCTTCAAAATCAAGGAAATGTTCTGGATTGAATTTCCAAGGGGTTTTCCAGTGCTCTGGGTCATACAGCACAGAATGAGCATTGGGCAGCAGAAGAGTTCCCTGGAAGTGGAAAAACAAAAAGCAAAGGAAATTATGACGGGGATGGGCTGCTCCCAGTTTGCTCCAGTTTGGGCAAACTGGTATTTTAATTGTTTAATTGCTGGTTCGGTGAACCGAAAAATCCCACCCCTGACTGGCCCCACCGACCCCAACCCTTTGCTCCCAGGAGTCTCCATGCGGCCCATTTCGGATCCCAGGTAAGTACAGGGTCTGCACGGAGGCTTGGGCAGGGCGAAAAATGGGCCTCCTGGAAGTGGGCCCGTTTCCAGCCTCCAGAGGACCTCCGGAGCCCGGGGAGCCCATTTTCACCCTCCCAGAGGCTCAAGGAAAGCCTCCGGAGTCCTGGGAGGGTGAAAACGCCCCCCTGCCATGGTGCAGGAGGCTGACTAGGCCACGCCCTCTATGGCCATGCCCACCCAGCAACTGGGTATTGAGCTTCAGCTCGGAGCTCGCCAAACTGACCAAGAAGCACCTTCCCCTGCTCCGGCTTTTGGCTGTCCCACCACCCGAGGTCCTCGCCACGATGCCAGTTGCCTGCCTACCTATCCAGACCCCGGCTTCCCGGGTGCAGTGAGAATGGCGCGGCCAGCTCACAATGACACGGAGCCAACAGGACATTGGCTGCTGTCCCGCTTTTCATGGTCACGGCGTCCTGGGACCAGTGGTGATGGCACAGCCAGATCGCGTCAGCATGAGGACCCTAGCTGATGTGACAGCGTGAGAAGGGTGAGTATCCACAGCCCTCGGGATGCTTATGGTGACTTCAAGCAGCTGAGCCAGCTCCAGATTCCAGCTGATGGATGCTACGGAATGTAGTCATGCAGCACAAACATCGGGAGGGTTTTTTAACTACCGCATGGTGGTTACCAGGGCAGAGAAAGGGAAATAGAAGGGGTGGGGTCAGTGTATGTTGTCAACACATCCCAGGAATACTGGGATGTGGGTAATTCAGTGCTGATTTTGAATGGATCACTGTTTATTGGGCTTGCTGAAGTTGTACCATGGAGTAAAGATACTACTGGAACGTTTGTTTGATCTGTATTCATTTGTTCTATTGTCTACCAGACTTGCTAAGAATAGCTGTGACCAGGCAGAGAACCAGTTGCTAAAATTTTTGAAGCCCACTCCTGAATTATGAGTTCTTGTTTTATAAACGATCTTTTCAATCATCTTGAGAAGGAGGCCAACAATTCCCCAGGTTTTCTCCTTCCCAACAGTGAAGAACATTGAACATCATTACACAGGCTAGAAGAGTGTTTCCCAATCTCTGAATCTGTAAGGTGGGTGGACTTCAATTCCCAGAATTCCCTAGTCAGCATGTGTACAGGTAAGTCCTCAACGTAGGACCGTAATTCTGCTCGGCAATTATGGTTATAAGTTGTCATGGTCATAAAGCAGTCGCCACTTAACCAGGCCTGTTTTTATGAACTTATTGGCTGATAAAAGCAGATGCTGTGGTCTTAACATGAATCGCTCACTAATAAGCCTTTTTTTTTTTTTTTTGCTGTAAACTGGAATTAAATGTCATTTTTTCACAAAAAAAGTCACAAATCATGGTCGTGTGACCACAGGATGCTGGAAACAATTGTAAATGTGGGCCAGTTGCCAAGTGCCCAAAACTCAATCATGTGACCACAGGGAGACCAAAGTTGGAACTTTGAAACTGGGTCATAAATGTTGTGGTCCACTGGCGGCCTGAGGAGCTGGCAGCAGAGTCAGACAGTGGGAAGGAAAAGGTGCCGGTCCTGGATTCTGGGGAAGGCTGGGACGAGGGATCTGTGTCCGACACAGAGATGGGGCTAGGGCCATCTGGGAGTTATGTACTGACTCCAGAGCCTCCAGAATCTGACATCAGTGAGGCAGAGGAACAGGGGGAGCCTGTTCCCAGTGTGTGCTTGCACAGAGCTGCCAGAAGGCAAGAACAGTGAAGACAAAAGAGGTGACTCGGCTTGGAGATGATTGGCCCCTCCCATAAGACATAAAGGAGGAGCAAAGGGACACGAGCCTTTGCAGGAAGCAACTTTGTTCGTTCTGGTCTGTTTAAAATCTGAAGCTCTGTGTTGACTTTGTGCTCCATTTGACCTTGTACAGCTAATTGGCAATTTAGTCATTGGCAACATTTCAAGGGAGATAAACGTGGATGCTTATCAGCCTTATGTCAAAAGACTGTGGCAGGCTTCTGTTGGACTATTCATAAACTGTTTGGGACTCATTACGGGCTGTGAATGCACATAATTCACTGCTGTTGAAATAAAACAAAATGTATTTGGGAACAGCATGTGATTGTTACTGTTCCAGGAAGCCTTGGCCAGAACAATACGTAGCTTTTTAAGGATGTCTTGTAACTTAGAATCATGGCTAATTAACTGATTGCAGACTGAGAACAATCTGTTGACTTCGGCTCCCACAATTCCCCTAGCAAAATTAGATTTGCTCAGTTTGTGTCTGGGTGTTTTATCCTTGGGATAGGAAGTTTCTGCTTTAGTGTATTCTTGGGTTGAAAGTGTGGTGGTGATGCTATCTAACCCACATTTTTTTAATCTGACCAAGAAGTTGGTTGAGGTCTACTTTATCAAATGCTTTACAATTGCAGAGCATCTTTTTGATCAGGTGACCACAGAGATACTGGAATGCTCTTAAGTGTGACAAACGGTCCTAAGTCACATTTTTCAGTGCCGCCGTAATGTTGAATGGTCACTACAAGCTTACAAACCATTGTAAGTCGAGGACAATCTGTCATTACACAACACACTGACATTGTGTTGTGGTTAGCTGGAAGCAGGTGCAGATGGCTGAGGAGACCAAGGACTCAGACGAGGGCCAGGAGCATCAGGGAGTGGACTGCTGCCTTCAGAGATTGTGGGGGCTGGCAGCAGTGATGAGGAGGTTCCCGAGGAGCCTGTGTCAAGTGCACGTGCACGTAGGATTGCTCGGAGGAAAGAACAATTACAGCAGTACAGGCGACTCGGGAATAAGGTAATGGCCCCTCCCTCAAGAGGATAAAAGCCATGTTTAGAAAAGCGTTCTTTGCAGACAGCAAAGAAGCTCTTAAGCACAACTGGTGGACATCTTAGTTCACGTTTGGGAGAATCTTGTAAATTAGTTCTTGTCTCTGGGTTGTTGGAAGCCTTGACAAACAACTTGGCAAGGCTCTTTCTTGTCGGAACTAATTAGTGGAAAGCAGCCTTCAGAACAGAATTTGTTATTAAACCTTAAAAGGTGGGGGCTGCTGCCTTTGTCTGTGTTTGGTCTTTGGGAACCCAGTTGGGTCGGAACACACTGCCTACTTTTAAGCTATTTCTCTGATTTAGCATTTGCAAACCCAGCCTGTTTGACTTATTTGGGATTTCATCTACTGCAACAACAAAGAAAATAATCCTTGCATCACTAAGCTAAATATGCTAACTCTCAAGAATTAATTAGGGCATCCGTTGGAACCCTGACAGAATGTCAATTTAGCCCCGTATTTTGAAAGTCCTTAGCTCTTATTATCTTGTGCTAATAAGTGTCCCGCAGCAAGTTGTTGTGGGTGAGCAGGGGGCGGGAGAGAGAGAGAGAGAGAGAGAGAGGGAGGGAGAGAAAGAGAGAGACCTTTACCTTTCCAATGGGGGACCCCATGATAACAATGTCCTTCAGGCATTTCCGTAAGGGCCCTGTGATTGAGATGTTGCTGTAGCGAACAATTTCATGCAGCACGGCGTTCGTGTAGGGTAATCTGTTCCGATCCTTGTAAGTGATCATTTGAGAAGGTCCCAGAATGGCATCTATTTCATGGTGGATTTTTTCTATACATAAGATACATTACAGCTGTCAAACTCGTGGTCCATGGGCTGGATGTGCCATGCGCTGACTATGCCCATGTCCGGTTTAGCAAAGTGGGGAAAAGTGACGATACATCACATGACGCCGTTGTGATGCCCCAAGTTTGGTACCCCTGCATTACAGGCAGAGGTGGGCTGCTCTTTTGTTGGCAAGGGCTGGCTGTGAGTACACCTAGACAATGGGCCACAACGGTAACATTGAACAGTCACTAAATGGATCACTGTAAGTTGAGGGCTACCTGAATATCACATTGACCCCCCCCCCCCCGTGAACGGATACCCACATTCCAAAGCTGTGGCAGCTCTATTCACCTACCTTGCACATCTGGATATTTGAGCAAATAAAGGAGACCCCAGTACAAAGTGGTCGTGCTGGCCTCTGCTCCTCCAATCAACAGGTCGACAGCAATTTGAACCATGTTCTCCTCGCTGAAAATGGAATCAGAGTTGTTTTTGTTCTGGAGATGGAAAATAGGAAAAAAGGCCGATAAGTGGGAGATTTTTCATTAGAGCTGCCCCTTGAAAGGATAAAAGTATCCCTGTTGAAAGAGAAAAACCCTCCGTTCTGGGTTCCCTGTCTTCTCAGGTACACCAGGCATGGTCAGATAAAGATAGACCTCGACGTACAACCCTAATTGAGCCAAAAATTTTGTTGCTGAGTGAGACGGTTAAGTAAATTTGGCTCAGTGGCTAAGATGCCGAGCTTGTCAATCAGAAAGGTCAGCAGTTCGGTGGTTCAAATCCCTAGCACTGCGCAACGGAGTGAGCTCCCATTACTGGTCCCAGCTCCTGCCACCAAGCAGTTTGAACACATGTAAAAATGCAAGTAGAAAAATAGGGACCACTTTGGGGGGAGGGGAACAGCGTTCCATGCGCCTTCGAAGGCGTTTAGTCATGCCAGCCACATGACCACAGAGACATGGCTCTTTGGACAGTGCTGGCTCTTTGGCTTCGTGACGGAGATGAGCACCGCCCCCTAGAGCCAGAAACGACTAGCATGTATGTGCAAGGAGAACCCTAACCGTTGTCTTTTTATAACCTTTCTTGACACAGTTGATAAGGGGATCGCTGCCAATGTTAAGTTGGCAACATAGTTGTTAAGTGACTCAAGCTTCCTCTTCTGACTGCGCTTGTCAGGAGGGTGCAAAAGGGGATCACATGACACCCTCCCAGGATACTGCAACCGTCATAAATATGAGTCCGTTGCCAAGCATCTGAATTTTGTGACCAGGGCGATGCTGCAACGGTTGTGTGAAAAATGAAATCCCTATTGTGCTGCCGTTGTAACTTTGAACAGTCACTAAATGAACTGTTGTAAGATGAGGACTACTTGTAAACTGATTCTGCTTTATTGTAAGGTTACATTAACAGATTTTTGCAAGTATGAAAGCACAGTTCTCCTGCCCTCATCTTTACAGAACGTCTAAGCCGCTTGATCCATCAACTGTACAGCGGAGGGCTCTGCTCCCTCTTATCTGACAGTTCCCTAGGCAGCATCTCTTCACCCGTCTCACAACCTCTACCCATCGTAGATTATGCCATTACACCCATGGGTGGGCTTCAAAAGTTTTAGCAAAGCATTCTCTGCCCAGTTGCTGGGTGGGAATGACCTAGTCAGTCTCTTGCACCATGATGGGGGTTGTTTTTGCCTTCCCCAGGCTCCGGAGGCTTTCCTCGAGCCTCTGGAAGGGTAAAAACAGCTTCCCTGGGCTCCGGAAGCTCTCCGGAAGCCAGAAACAGGCCCATATCTGCCTTTCTTGAAGTTCCAGGAGGCCTGTTTTTCATCCTCCCCGAGCCTCCATGCCTGCCCTGCCCTGCATCCAAAATGGGCGATGTGGAGACTCCTGGGAGGGGAGGGGCAGAGTGGGCAGGGCCAACCAGGGGTGGGATTTGGGGGGGTTCTCCGAATTACACAGAATCTTAGCTAGGGGCACTCCCAAACCCCTGCGAACCCCCACAGCAGCCCCACCCCGATTACACTCACTAACTTACGAAGTCAAGAAAGAGGCTGGTATTACGTATGAGAGGCCGGTCCTACATTGACATAAGAACAGTGAGTCATCAGTTGGATACTGGCTATCTACAAGGTGGTCTGGAGAATGGCAGGGGTGTATATGTGTGTGCCCAAAACTCAGGATGGTAGCAATAGAAGAGAACCTTTGCAGCTCATGGTTCAAGTGTGGAGCCCCCGGTGCTCTCTGAGCTTGGTTATTTTCTGGCAGAAGGTTCATTACCCAAGAATGTAACATCACCACCAGTGCTGGAAGAATGTGGGGTTTGTAGAGAGGAGGAGGAGGAGGAGGAGGAGGAGGAGGAGGAGGAGGAGGAGGACAACAGCAACCCAAACAAAAGAAAAATATCTCTACCAATGACCTCCCAGACTCCTGCACATGTTTCAAATGTCTCGAAACCATCAATGAAAGTGAAATTTACATCAAATCCCGCCTATGCAATAATCTAGCTCACCCTGCCTGCTTAAACACAAACAAAAGTCTAGCTGATATGGTTAAAAATACAGATGCATTCTTTTATCTATGTCCATCATGTTTTCCTAAGTTAAACAAACTGAGGATCCTACCTGACAGAGTTGAAAGCACAGAATCACTCATTTAACTCAATTGAAGAATGCTTAGCAACACATTTTGAAACAACTATACAAGCAAGTCTAATTTCTCATGAAAAAAAATTACAGCACAGATAAGTGAGTACCTATCAGCTCAAAGTCAAATCCCACAACAACCAAGATTTTGTAGAGTTGTATGCAAAAATGAGTCCAGCAAACGCATATTCATTCATACAATAAATGCCATTGCAAAAACCAATCCCAACTGCAAAAAATTTCGCTCAAGACCAGACTTATCCATACTGTAGAGAATCAGCACCTGTGAACTCCACGCAGAATTCAAAAACCGTCTAGACAATGGAGAAAAGGACCTATGCATTGACTACAGAGTTGATTGCATCAAAAGAAAGTCACACAACTCACAACTCCGCATCCAACGCCACCCCATCTAATCCAACATCACTCAAAACTAGGCACGCATACCCCTAACTACCTCTATTCCAACCACAACTGGCCTTAAATGCAAGCTACTCAGTGCAAGAAGCCTTGTAAATAAAATACCTGAACTTCTCCTCTTAATAAATACGACTAAATTTGACATTATATTTGTCTGTGAAACATGGCTTAATGCGTCTCTCCCTGACTCCGTTACCACAGTAAGAGACTATCATGTTTACCGATCAGATCATGAAATCCGTAGAGGAGGTGGCGTTGCTATCTTCTATAAAAAGTCCTTACATCTAAAAAACATCCAAGTTACCCAGGAGCTTGCTATTTCTGAGACCATCATCTGTGAACTGTCCTTAAATATCACATTTTGGTTCTTACTATGATTACAGAGCCCTTGATTATGACATCGAACATGCAAACAAGCTAAATACGCTAACATGGGCAGCATCCTGCCAACACGCTTTTATCTTTCTTGGTGACTTCAATCTACCTCATATTAACTGGACCCTTAACGAATGTACAACTGAACCCACACATACAACCTTCTACAATGCAGTAACAAATCTGGGACTAGAACAACTAGTAACCAACAACAGTAGACTTAACAACTGCCTCGATCTCATCTTCTGCAATAGTTTGCATTCAATTTATGGAATACAAATTAAAGAACCCTTTTCCAACAGTGACCACAACATGATTGACTTTTGACTCAACATACATCCACACAAAAATCATCACAACAATGGAATCCTCAATTATAACTTCAAAAAAGGCAAATATGATCTTGTAAACAACAATCTCTCATTCCTTGATTGGCAATTTCTATTCTCTGGATGCAATATTGTAGAAGACCATTACAACATATTTTTACTTGAAGTCAAAAGAGTCATCAAACTATATGTACCAATAACAACTCCCAAAACCAGAAAAAAACAAGTTACCCAAAACAATAAGGAAGCTTCAATCCAAAAAGAAATCACTTTGGTGGAAAAACAAATCTGTTCACGTTGCCAACTTCAAAAGCTAATACAAAAATTTATGCCACCAGATAAAAACTGAATGCACCAATTATCACATTAAACAAGAAGAAAACCGTCTCACCTGCACTTTCTACAATTTTGTAAGCAACAAACTAAAAGACTCAAGGTCCATCCCACCCCTGAAAGGACCTAATGGTAAAGACTGCAACGGTGACACTATTAAAGCCAACCTCTTTAACACATTATTTGGTTCAATATTTGTAAACAGCAATGGATCATGCCCAGTATTTCCTAGCTGAACCACACACAAGTACAATGATCTAATACATATCGATTTTACAGAAGACAATGTTGAAAAAGCACTACGCAATCTAAAACCATCTCTATCTATTGGACCAGATGGAATATGAGCCTACTTCTTGAAAAAGCTACCCACTGCCATAGCCGAACCTCTAAGCATAATCTTCAAAAAATCTTTCAAGACCAGCTCCTTGCCAAAACTATGGTCACAAGCCACGGTCATCCCCATCTTCAAAAAGGGAGACCCCAGCCTAGTTGAAAATTACAAACCAATCTCTTTATGCTGCGTCACCTGTAAAGTCATGGAATCAATTATTAACCAATCCATCATCCTCCACTTAGAAACAAACAACCTACTCTCTCATAAACAATTTGGTTTTAGGAAAAAACTATCCTGTAATCTGCAACTCTTACACTGCAAAAACATATGGACTACACAACTCGATCAGGGCAAAGCAATAGATGCAATCTAAATAGACTTCTGTAAAGCCTTTGATTCAGTGGTACACGACAAACTACTCCTAAAACTAAAATCTTATGGTATCTCTGGACACCTACATAACTGGATAGAAGCATTCCTGTCAAACAGACAACAAATGGTCAAAATTGGGAGCGTCCTATCAAATTCTGTACCTGTCAATGGTGGTGTCCCCTGGGGCAGTGTTCTAGGACCAACTCTTTTCATACTCTACATAAATGACCTCTGTGATCATATCAAGAGCAACTGCGTTCTCTTCGCTGATGATGTAAAGCAATTCAACACCACAACCAAGCTCAAAGAACACTAATGAGATTCCACAGTAAAGATGTGTAATCACAACTCTGTGATTACAAACACCATCTTGACCTGGGTCCCTCACGACATGCCCTTGGTTACCCTGTTCCCAGCCAAGATGGCTAGTCACTGAGAACCGGGGAGGCTGAGCAGAACAAGAAGCTATGCCAAAACCATCTCCTTGCCTTGGATATGAACTCCAGATAGAAGTCCAGCAGATCTTGTGGTTTGTTGCCTTCTTCCCATCTCTCCTTGTGGCTCTGCATCTTGTCCTTGATGAAATTGTGCATGAATTCGTTGTGTTCAAACAACTGCTGGTAAGGTTTCTGAAATTTCTGCATAATGGTAGGGAAAGAGTCGTAGGCCTATAGCAAGGCAGCAAAATGGGAGACAAGGGAGAATGACACGAAGTGAGAATTTATCGCCAGGCTTGTGGCTGGGTGATTTCCTCATCCTGCAATTTCTTCTTCACACATGGGGGGGGTTATTTCATTTAAACCAGGAGACTCCCATTTTGGCAATTTTACGACTTGTGGATTTCAGCTCCCAGAATTCCTCAGCCACCACAAATTGCCAAGGTGGGAGATCTGGCTGAGGAATTCTGGGAGTTGAAGTCCACTCAGCTTAAAGTTGATGAGATTTTCACTGGATTAGAAGTTATCTAAAGTCTTTTCAAACCCTTTCTTTTTTTTTCTTTCTTTCTTTCTTTCTTTCTTTCTTTCTTTCTTTCTTTCTTTCTTTCTTTCTTTCTTCTTGTAATGTTTTTTTTATTTTATATTTACAATAAATCCATTTTTCATTTCAACAATGTGTCAACTGTGTACATATATCTTGTGCAAACAATTATCATTAATACTTTTCTTACCAATATAACAATAATCACATTTTCTTATGTAACCACTATTTATGTCTATTATCTTTATAACAATCTTAACTTATTTCTCTATATATTCATCTTGTTTTAACCTGTTTTGTTTCCCAGCCATTGATAAAATAGATCCCATACCATAATATGCTGTTTCTTCTTTTTCTTTAATTGCCAGTGTTAATCTATTTATCTCTGCACATTCAAATATTTTCTTAATTACTCTTCCTTCTGCCGGTACCTTATCACATTTCCAATTCTGAGCAAATACAATCCTAGCTGCTGTTAATACATGAATAATTAAGTATATTTCTTCTTTGCTGTAATCTTCTGGTACCATCCCTAACATCCCTAATAAAAATATTTCAGGTTTCAAATCTATATGTTGCTTTATCATTTTTTACAGCCATGTGTGTATTTGTCATGCCCCTGTTGGAATCTGACTTGGAGGAGGAAGCGGAACAGCTGACAGGGAGTGGGAGTGTGGCTCCATTGGCTGGGGAAGAAACTGGGGCAGGGCAAAGTCCCACTGGGCAGAGCAGGGGAGAGGTAGAACAAGGGAGAGGTAGAACAAGGGAGAGGGAATTCAGAGGAAGACACAGGCCCACCCCCTTTTCATCCTAGGGCACGCAGGGAGGAACAGAGAAGAGAGCAATGTGGGCTGCGTGGCTTATGGGGGAGGAAGGGGCCCTGATTCCCTTCATTAGCTGCAGCTGGGAACACAGTGTATAAAAAAGGCAAGCTGCGTGCAGCAAGCTGTTGGGAGCAAATGTGACTTTATCTTGTATCGTCGTGGCTTATCTGTGTTCCTGGCATCTTCCCAACTGTGTGAGTTTTGCCGTGCTCTCAAGTTTGAAATTTCTGCTCTTGCCCTGTCAAACTAATTACTTCAGTTTGGTTTGTTTGGATTTTAAGTTACAGTTTGTGTGTACCTTCTTTTGGACTGAATTTTCTGCAGCCAAAGACTATTCTCGACACTTTTGTTAAGTGAATCCCTGCAGTTCTTAAATTAGGAACATGGTTATTAAATGAATCCGGCTTCCTGACAGACTTTGCAAATGGGAAAGGGTGCAAAAGGGGATCACATGACTCAAGGGATGCTGCAACCGTCATAAATATGAACCAGCTGTCAAGCCTCTGAATGTAAATCCCTAAACAATAGGGATGCTGCAATGGTCTTAAGTGTGAAACATGGCCCTAAGCAATTTTTTTTCAGCGCCGTTGTAATGTTGAACCGTCATTACATGAACTGTTGTAAGTTGAGGATGAGCGGCATTTGGACTCTTTTTTAAAAAAAACCAAACTATTTTTTTATACCGAGCATCAGGAAATGCAAGGAGCATGGATGGAGGTAAAGAACCATCTATATCAGGGGTGTCAAACTCAAGGCCCGCGGGTGTCAGCCTTCAAGATTTTCTCCCTTTGCTTTGCATCTTTCGGCTGTCATAAGTAAGGGGGGGGAGGAGGGGGGAATGGTTATGGGAAGTGAGATGGAGGTGTTACAAACCAGAACCGTATAAGCTGGAGTGGGGGGTAGATTCTTGCTTAGGCTTCTATCCTATGCTATGCGCAGCTGTAACTCTTTATCAAACTATGTCAAGGTCAACGGACAGAGGCCTCATCACCACCTGGAGATGCCCCCATGATGATATACACCACTTTCAATTGGATGAGCCAATTGAACTATTGGGGGTGGGAACGTTGCCATCACTTTGTATATGTGATTTACGCGCCCATTTTCTCAGATTCAGACTTCTTTTGTTGCTACCACTTGATTTCCAGTAAAAGATATCTTTTCTCTGATTAATGGAGTCTAAGTATTTCTTTCTTGGATTTTGAATGGAGCGCCAGCTGAGAGCTGGCCAGATCCAGCCTGTGGGGTGCTTAGGTCTGGCCTGTGAGGCCATCCTGAAAACAGCAAAGGACCAGCCTGCAGTGCTTCTGTCAGCAAAAGGGGACCTTGGGAGGGTTACACGTGTCCCCCCGAAGTCTGTTTTTGCTGCCAGAGGGCTGCAGGAGGCCGTGACGGCCAAAAACAGGGCCCAGGGGGGCTACACACACACACACACACACACACACACACACACACACACACACACA